AGCTGATAAAATTCTTCAATTTCCTCATGTGTGGCTTTGGTGGTTGGGGCATAAATTTGAATAACAGTCATATTAACGGGTCTTTGTAACACTAATAGTTGTAATTTAACTGTGTATTATTTGATAGATATGTTTCTCTTTAGCTAGCAAGCATGTCTGTTTGTGACTTTTCTGAACACAGCTACTATATAGCATGGTACTACTGTACTCATCACAAAAAAAATCTACAGGCAACTGGTTTCAGTGGCTGTTTTCAGAATTAGATTGCTAGACCTTTCTTCCAAGGTCCCTTGGGTGAACCTGAACTTCCAATCTTTGTGTTAACAGCCAAGCACAAACCATTTGCACCAACAGCTGCTCAATAAATTTTTGATAGATGGGTAATTGGATGAATGTGGGAAGAAAAATACAAGGCATATTCTTCCTACTGTAAGAGATGAAATTAATCAGATTATCCTTGGTCTCCAGTTTCTTCGTTTTATTAAGTCTCTCATCCCAAATGTGTTTATTTTGTTAATGCTTTTGATGTTGTTGTGAATGGAAATATAAAATGATTTTGTAGGTTAAGACAAAGTAACAATGAAGTTTTTCCAAAAGCGCATTTCTTGAGATGTTGATATGTATTTCATGCGTTTTTTTCTACCCACCCCCCCTCCAAAAAAAACTTAATGTCACATATGTTTAGGTAATTGCGCTAGATAGTTACTTTTGTTTCTGGTCTCAGATTCTTCATACCAATGAGCATTTTATATTTCTGGGCTTGTTGGGATGTGTATGTGTTGGGGGTGGTGATGGGGTGGATGAGAGAGATACTGCCTAGCGTTTCTCATAATTTTATGACCATGTGAATTAGTTCCCTTTTGCTGCTGTAACAAATTACCACTTATTTAATAGGTTAAAATGTTAACACGTTATTATCCTACAGTTGTGTAGATAAGTCTGGTCTGGTCTCACTGAATTAAAATCAAGGTGTAAACAGAGCTGCATCCATTCTGGATGCTCTAGGGGAGAATTCATTTCCTTGCCTTTTCTAGTTTCTAGAAGCTGCCTGCATTCTTTGACTCCTGGTCCCCTTTCAATGAGCATTTACATCACTCTTACCTCTGCTTCATCATCACAATATCTTCTCTTTGTAAGGACCTTGTTATTTCACTGGGTCCACTGGAATAATTCAGGACTCCCCATTACAAAATCCTTAACTAATCCCATCTCTGAAGTATCCTTTGCCATGTAAAGTAACATTTCATGGGTTCCAGTGATGAAAACATGGGCATCTTTGGCAGACTATTATTCTTAACTACTACACCATGGAAACTTCTTTGCAGGTGGTTTGGGAAATGATGATTAATGTACTTAAATTGGTATCTATATGGCTTTGATAATATATCATTGTACTCCTTTGTCCTTGTAGTACAATTGTTTATGATTTTTTCTTTGGAAAATACAAATAATTATGGCATATAAATTGAAGGATATTTGACAGAAATAACTGATCACTACTCTATAAAAGTGTCAACATCATAAAAGACAAGGAAAAACTAAGGAACAATTTTATAGGCTGCAGGGGACTAAGCAGAAATAATAACTAAATGCAATGTGAGGTTCTGGATAAGATCCTGAAACAAACAAAAAAGAAAGACATTAGTGGGAAAACTGGTGAAATTATAATGAAGTCTGTAGTTTAGTTTAATTAGTTAATAGAATTAATATTATTTATTTATTTATTTCCTGATCATTGTACTAAAGTTATATAAGATGTTAGCAATAGGCGGACACCATTAACTTTGAAGTAACTTATTTCCAGCAGCAATAAGAAACTGATACATCTGGGTTTTCTGGATCCCGGCAAGAGTTTTGGTCTGGTTAAGATACTCTGTCTTATCTAGAAGGAAAATTTGTAGTTTAACCATTTATTATCAGTGTGATCCTGTGCCCATTGATGCAGCATTATTATCAAGAAGTATAGTGTTGTTAGAATTTGGAGTCAGCTCAATGGCATACAATACAACACAGTATAGACTCTACGAGAATTTGAGTTATTAACAATATTTGACTAATAATGTTCAATGATTTCACATATATTGATGTCATCCCCATATTAAACTGACATTATCTATACTATATATCTCTTTGAATATGAAACCATATCGATTATACCTTTCCTTGAAATTCATGCTACAACTTGATTTTCGAACTATGATTTGGGAGAGTTCCAACTATTTCCAGCACAGAAGTCTAAATTAGTAAGAGAATCATTTGGTGTTTTAAGTATTAGAAAATATAGCAGGAAAATCCACATGGCCCTGCTCTAATTGTGTTTTTATATAATTTTTTTAATGGGAGGAAAAACCCTCTTGATTTCATTATTATCGTGATTATTTTTACAGACTTTGCCTAAGATACTGAGCCATATTGCCCCAGCATTTTGCATGAGCAGCTGTAGTTTTGTAGTGGAAAAATCTAAAGAATCAACAGCACGTGTTGTAGTCTGGAGGGAAATAGGAGTGCAAAGAAGCTATACCATGGAGAGTACTTTGTGTGGCTGTGATCAGGGAAAATATAAGGTAAAGCAACGCAAGACTTTCCTTCCATGTTGTCTATAGCAGTTTACAAGATATATTAAATGATAACATTTGTTATTCTGAGTTATTTGTAATTTGCAATAATGTAATTGAATTGTAGGCGGTCTTAAGAAGAGGCTGCTTTCGTCACTAAACTAAATAGCTTGCTTAAAGTTCTTACTGAATTCTTGAATCTATTTACTTTCAGAATTTTTTAAAAAGCATATTGCTGTACACATTTAAATATTGATTAGTATATAATGAACTGTGCAAGTAGTGCATTAATAATTTCTACATTAATAATATATTGGATATATCTGATGGAAGTATTTATGCATTAAAAACATTTAAAAACATTAAAAAGCATTTATTTATCAAGCCGCTGATTTGTTACATTTAGATTTTTTTGTGTGTGCCTTTTAAATGTGTATCCCTTCACTAAATCTTTTTCTTTACTGAGCTTGTTCTTCTTGGTGCCATAAGGCTTTTGTTGGAAACAACCAGAGTTTAAACTTAACTGTTGAGCTTAAAGACTAATAAAATGTTAACTGATTTTGAATTTTTGAATTTTTAAACATTGAGGACTTCATGGGCAATGAATTGAACCTATCATTAATAGATCTAATCTATCATTGAGTAAACCTGAATATGTATTTTTCTGGCCTGGCCACAGAAAGATGTTTGAGTTGTCATACCGATTATTCCACTTGTTTTGTTTGCTTGTTTGGCATAGGGGAAAAAGGATATAGAATATAATTTTTCTATACATCACATAAAAATATAACTAAAAATAAATAATTGTAACTTTGTATTTGGAAAGAGTTAAAATTAAAAATCTTCTAATTGGTTAGTGTGAAAAATATAAGCATATTATGTAGGTGATATAGAATATTTTAAGTGGAGAGCCTAAATAATGACTATTTTAGTGTGTAATAGGCTAGAAGAAAATTGTATTGATTTTGCAATTGGTTTTCAAACTTTTGGGGCCTGTTTTAGTAGAGCTTTTTGAAATTCTAGTACTTTGTTATGAGTGTCTCTTCCCTACATTCTAAATTTGACCACATTATTCTTCCAAAGTGTGATATTTTTTGAGCTCTCTCCAAATATTGTAGAACAGTGACTGCTACTTTACCAGAGGAGGGTGGTGCTGAGAGGTATTATGTAGCATGAGCACCACCTCTACCTGTCACCTCTGTCCCCTAATCATTGTTCTTGTGGACAACTTTTGCCATAGGTCTCATGTTCCACAATGATGTGGGATGGGAAAAAAATTTGAGAATCGCTTTTGTGTAAGAACATAGGTGGCTCCTGGGGGAAAGAAAACATTGAGCTATATGTTCTTTGAGAATATACTGTAAATTGCTTCTTAAAGAGGCAATTTATGGAGTTTGGAGATTATTCAAAGCATTGTCAGTGTCTGTGAAACTAGTCTCTGGGCAGTGGAGAAAGAAACGTGTTATTTTTATTATACAAATAATGTGCTATGTTTTATACAAATAACGTTCTACCTTTTTTTTTTTCTTAACTGTGCCCTCCCCCTAGGTATTTTTAATAACCATACTATGCCAATTTTTTGTACAGCAACAAGTAAAAAGATTAGCATGCTTATGAAAGCACTCTGTGGGGGTGAGAAGAGGGTGTAGTTGGCAAAAAAAAATTGTAGACCACCAGTGTTATTTGTGTAAAAATACAGTACAGAGAGGATGGAATGTGACTGCCCTTTAAGTCATCTGTGGCTTGTAACAGTGGTGCTTGGTTACTGTATATAGATTCCACTGATAAACTTCTTTTGGATTTTTAAACAATATTTGTGTTTTGACAAATTTGCTTTGTTGTAGAAGAAAATAACTTCTTAAAAATATGAAGAAAAGTGAGTCTTACTGAGCCAAATTTTTATGTATAAAATTCAAAGCTTTGATCTTAATACGCTCTTCAAAGTGTTTAATGCTAATAAATTATGTGAGTCTAAAAATAATTTAAAAAGCAGTTCTCTTTCATCCTCTAGAATATCATTATGTTACTGAATTTTAGGCTGCAAGTATTCTTTATATTTATTTTCCAAATTAATTCAGAAATAAGCATACATTTTCTAAACCTTTTATATTAAGTTGGCAAATGAATGTTATAATAAATGCAGGTTGCTTCTCCTAGAATATTTGGGATATGGCCAAACTTTGTATTTAAACAAACAAAAGAAAATCATTATTATAAAGACACGTGTTTTGTGTAGGGTATGTATAACTGTATTTACCATTCATTTTCTCTGTTCCTGAGGAACTCATTTAGTCTGGTCACTGAAAAGCTATTTTAGCATTTCTTCGCTCCAGCTGATGTTTCTCTCATCTCTGAGAAATCTTCTCATCTTCTGTTAGTATAAGGATTTCACTTATTCTAGCGATCCATTTTTATCTGATAATTAAATGATAAGCAGTATCTTGATTTATAGTCCATTTTATGATTGTATGGGGTAACATGTAATTTTTGGTAAACTTACATTGTTTATTAAGGAGCCCTGGTGGTGCAGTTGTTAAGCTCTGTGCTGCTAACTGAAAGGTTAGTGGTTTGAAGCCCACACAGTGGCTTGGCTGGAGAAAAGACTGAGTGATCTCCCATAAAGATTACAGCCTAGAAAACCCTGTGGAGCAGTTCTATTCTGGTTGCTGTGACTTGAAAATCAACTTGACAGAACCTAACAACAACAGCGTACTATATATTGGGAAGCTGTTGGTTTAAAAAGGGGTAAAGGGATTGTGGTAAAATTGTCTTATATTGTTAATATAAGAATATTGTATAACAATCTTAAATTGTTAAGGAATTATTTTTATTAATGTAGTTATAAATTCCTTTTATATAATTTTAATGTGATACAGCCAAAGGACCATAAACTTTCTACTTATATGTATAATACTGCTTTATTTTTAGAGTTTACAGATTGGTACTCGAGAATTGGAAGAGATGGGAGCAAAATTTTGTGTTGGTTTATTACGTTTGAAAAGACTGACATCCTCATTGGAATATAATCTGCCCTCTAGCCTTCTTGACTTTGAAAATGACTTGATTGAATCAAGCTGCAAAGTAACTAGGTGAGATAAATTTGCTTTATTCTTTAGTAAGTTGTAATTAATAGATTTCATTAAAATAATTAAGCAGAGGAAAGGCAATGAGATTTTTGACAGCCAAGAACATTTTTAGAATAGATATAATTAAGTTTAACTCAGAACTCACTGCCGTTGAGTTGGATCCAACTCATAGAGACCCCTCTTTGGGTTTCCGAGGCAGTATCACTATGGATGTAGATTGCCCAACCTTCCTTCCGAGGAGTGGCTGGTGAGTTTGAACCACCAGCCTTCTGGTTAGCAGTCAAATGCCTTGTTCTAAGTTGTGATCATATTCTTGATTGTTTTATTTTTTATTGTGGTGTGTTTGTATCAAAACATTTGCTGCTTCAGCAATTTTTGCATGCACAATTCAATGACATTATGTTGTGCAGCCATTACCACTGTCCTTTTCTAAATTATTCCACCACCATTAACAGAAACTCAGAACTCCTTTAGCAGTGACTTCCCCCTTTCCCCTCCCTTCTACTCCTGGTGACCAGTGATGAGCTTTAGTCTATTCTTGATTATTTCAACATTGATTTTTAGATGTGAGTTTAGGGAAACACCCTTATATTTTAAATGCTGCTATTAGTGATTTCAATTTGTCTAACTTTTAACCCAGAAATACGCAATGTGAGTAATAGAACAAATATATCAGATAATATCTAAATTAAGAGGGCTTAGAATCAGAATTCATATTTCAAAAGAAATTTTATTTTGTTGATGTCTACACACGTTAATTGGCTGTTCAATTACCTTCTGATTACATATGTTAGAAACAGCTAAAACATCTTTTTGATCATTTAACTCCATCTGCCAAATGTTCTTCTAAAATAAGTAATTTTTTCCTTCTAAAGTTCAATATACATATAATTTGATCAATTATGGGTTCAAAGATAATTCAGTGTCATAATTCTTAATCATAATATCAGAGCTTAGCATTTTGTCCTTTGCTGTAGTTGCTAAGAGTACCTACTGCCATAGAGTTGATTCCTACTCATCGCAACCCTTAAGGACAGTGGAACTGCCCCATAGGGCTTCCAAGGCTGTGAGTATTTACAGATGCAGACTGTTTCATCCCTTTCCCATGGAGTGGCTGGTGGGTTCAAATCATCAACCTTTTGGTTAGCAACCCAGTGCTTTACCCACAGCACCACCAGAGCTCATGGGTAAGAACAATCCCATTTTGTGAAAGTTTTATATTTTGCTATTAGATAGTGACTTGTCATCTATTTGTTAATTTATTACAGTACATTGTTATGTATATCAGTGTATAGTTTTAAGTACAGTAGGAGCTCTGGTAGCGTAGTGCCTAAAGACACTTGACTGCTAACCAGAAGGCTGGCGGTTCAAACCCACCAGCCACTCCTTGAGGGAAGATGGGGCAATCTACTTCCGTAGTGATACTGTCTCGGAAACCCAAGGAGGGGTCGCTATGAGTCGGGTCCGACTCCATGACACATAACAACAACAATAAAGCATTAATGGAGACTCCATTTTTCATAAATGTGATAATTTGAACTAATGGTCACCTGTATCCCTACTTTTCAAAGTGCTTGCTGAGTGATAATGAAAATGAATATAAAGATTAACAGTTGTTTCACTGATATTTAAGAAACCTTCTTTTATGTTTTAATTAATTTATTTTAAATTTAGGTCTAGTCCCTGACTTACCTCCCTTTCACCCTCAAGAGATGCATGAATTCAGAGTCCATGAACTAGAATGGAATAAAAGTTACATTGAACTACAATGTAGACAGCAAACCACACTAGTATTAGTAATACTTGTAACTTTTCATTGATAGAAATCCCAGGTATTTTCATATCACATTACAGTTGCTTTAGAGATCCTGAAATATCATTTATGTGTGTCAGTACTTTACAATTATGGTTATTGGACTAGTCTTGACTATTTTAAAAGGAGTATACATTTTAAAGAAATCACATACACTGCTCTATCACAAATGATTTTTTTTAACATTTTGATAGTTGAATTTCGGTATCATTGACTTCTATTATAATCACCTTATTTTATTTTATATGTTTAAAAACATTATTGAGAGAAGGAGTTCACAGACTTCACCAGACTCTCAAAGGGCACAAAATAAAGTTAAGAACCTCAGTTCTGGACACTCCCTGCACTTAAACATACAAACCTAATAATAAACAATTATAAATCCAGACAGTTTTTGTAAAATTTGATCCTAGCTCTTTCTACTGTTTATTGACTTGCATTGTTAGGCAGCCAGTCATTTCTTCTTCATGCTTCTATTCTTTGTCTCTCAAATTCATTTTCTACACACTTCTAATTTAGAACGTACTTTATTGTATTTTGGAAGGAAGGTTGGGCAATCTACTTCTGTAGTGATACTGCCTTGGAAACCCAAGGAGGGGTTGCTGTGAGTTGCATGCAATGAGTTATTGTATTAATTTAACATTTTATATTGACAGGGTTGTAGCTCTGATCTTTCTTTCTTAAAAGTGGGAACTTTCTTCCAGTATATATTTTTTGAAGCAGTAGCAAACTTAACATAAAAACGAATTGTAGTGAAAAGATTTTTTTTGACCTATTTGAGAGTAAATTGCCAGCCTGATGCCCTGTCACCAAATACTTTAGAGCAGTGCTTTCCAACAGAAATATAATCCAAGGTACATTGTGATTTTAAATTTTCTAGTAGTAACATTGAAAAAATGGAAAGCAATACAGTGTATTTAGTTTTAATAATATATTTTATTTCACCAAATATATCTAAAATGTTGTATCAACATGTAATCAATATAAAGATATTAATAAGGTATTTAACATCCTTTTTTTCATAAGTCTCTGAAACCTAGTGTGTATATTACATATACAGCACATTATCTGTTGAGACTAGCAATATTTAGTGACTACTGTATTGGAAAGTAGAATATATTTCCTATACACAAAAACATTATCCTACTAACCACCATACAACTATCAAAATCAGGTAATTGACATTAATATGATATATTCCATCTAATTTTGAGACATGTTACATTTAGTTGTCCTGTCTCTTTAATGTGCTACTTCATTATGGAATATTTCTTCAGTTTTTCCTTGACTTTCATGTCATGGTGCTTTTGAAGATTATAGCTCCTAAATCTGAGTTTCTCTGTCTTCTCATGATTATATACAAGAGTATGTCAGGAATATCATGGATACCATGTTCTTCTCGTAGATTCTGTCATAGAGTTCAATTGTAATTTGCCCTGTTCCTCATGCTCACTTTGATCACATGATTAATATGGGGTCTGCCAGACTTCTCAATTTTAAAGTTACTCTTTTCAATTTCTAATTAATAACTATTTTTATGAACACATACTTGGAAACTCTGTAAATATTTGATTTATGATCAAATTTTCAATTAACTATATATATGTATATGCACACCCACATATGTGTGTGTGTGTGTGTGTGTGTGTGTCAGCCTCCACCAGTCATCTGTCAGTTTGTTGTACTGTGGTGGCTTGTGCGTTGGAGGCTGGAGGCTATGCCACCAGTATTTCAAATACCAACAGGGTCACCCTTGGTGGACAGGTTTCAGTGGTGCTTCCAGATTAAGACAGACTTGGGAGAAGGAAGGGGCTATCCACGTCCCAAAGAATTGGCCAGTGAAAACCTTATGAATAGCCCTGAAACATTGTCTGACACAGTTCTGGAAGTTAAGCCCCTCAGGTCAGAAGCCACTCAAAATATGCTTGGGGAAGAGCTACCTCTTCAAAGTAGAGTTGACCTTAATGATGTAGATGGAGTAAAGCTTTTGGGACCCGCATTTGCTAATGTGACATGACTCAAAATGGGAAGAAACAGCTGTGAACATCCATGGTAATTGGAATGTGGATTGTATGAATCTAAGAAAATTGGAAGTTGTAAAAATGAAATGGAATGCATAAAGATTGATATCATAGGAGTTAGTGAGCTGAAATGGACTGTTTTTGGCTGTTTTGAATCAGACAACCATATGATCTGCTATGCTGGGAATGATACGTTGAAGAATGGCACTGCATTCATCATCACACAGAATATTTTGAAATCTATCGTGAAATGCAATGCTGTCAACGCAACGCAGTGCACTGCTGTGGCATCAGATCCGACTCATGGTTATCCCTCCTTGGGTTTCCAAGACGGTATGGAAGTAGATTGCCCAATCTTCCTTCCGAGGAGTGACTGGTGGGTTTGAACCACCAGCCTTCTGGTTAGCAATCAAATGCCTTAGGCACTACGCCACCAGAGCAGTGCTGTCAGTGACAGGATAATATCCATGCATCTACGAGGAAGGCCAGTTAATACTACTATTATTCAAATTTTCGCAACCACTGAAGATGGTGAAATAAAAGATTTTACCAACTTCTGCAGTCTGATATTGACCAAACATGTAATCAGGATGTATTCATTATCACTGGTGACTGGAATGCAAAAGTTGCAAATGAAGAATCACTGTTGTTGTTGTTGTTATGTGCCATCGAGTCAGCCCCGACTCATAGCGACCCCTCCTTGGGTTTCCAAGGCAGTATCACTACAGAAGTAGGATTGCCCAACCTTCCTTCCGAGGAGTGGCTGGTGGGTTTGAACCGCCAGACTTCTGGTTAGCAGTCAAGTGCTTTAGCCACTATGCTAAGAATCACTGGGAATTGGAAAATAGGGCCTTGGTTATAGAAATGACGCTGGAGATTGGATAGTAGAATTTTGCAAGACTTCTTCATTATGAATACCTTTTTTTAAACAACATTAACAGTGGCTGTACATGTGGACTTCAACAAATGGAATACACAGGATTGAGATCAACTGCATCTGTGGAAAGAGGCAAAGGAGAAGCTCAATATCTTCAGCCAAAACAAGGCCAGCAGCTGACTGTGGAACAGGCCATCAACTGCTCATGTGCAAGTTAAGTTGAAGCTGAAGAAAATTAAAACAAGTCCACGAGAGCCAAAATATGACTTTGAATATTTCCCTCCTGATATTT